TTGTTGCTTTTTTTGTATTGCATTTTCTACACTTTACTTTACAAAAGCACTGCGATCAGTCTAAAACAAATCATTTCTAAGTGAAGCCATCTTGTAAAACTGTTAAATCGCAATACATATAAATATTACCAATATTATTCAGCCCTACTGAACAATAGAAGTTTTTCTGTGTGATGTGACTTCTGTATGATCTGTGCCTTTTATATTGTTACACTACTGACAATCTTCTCCTAACTAAAATGGAAATAATGTGGAAAGTTTGCTAATGTGACCGCACTTTATATAAATCAGCGAGGACAAGTAAGCCTCAGTGAAAACATTCTTCCATAATTTCCAATCCATTTAATTAAGTTATATCATTGAAAAGTATACTTGTTTTTAAAACATGTGCATTTGCTACGGGCAATACAATGTACAGCCATTAGAGTTAGTGCAACAAGCAACCATCGCATTGCCAGTAGTAAACAGGACCTGCCCTGACACAGCTGAAGAGAGGCCATAGGCGAACAAAGTCATATGGACATATTTTCTTGGAGCTATGTATAATTATAGCTGAACTACTGAAGTCACATGGAACAATTTGACAATGTTTTTGGTTTCTTTTCACATCTCAAGACCCATGCTGACTTGGAGGGCTAGGGAGCTCCTGGATTTCATCTAAAAAAATTGTGTTCTGAAATCTCAGGGTTGGAACAACATGAGGGTAATTAATGACAAAATTAAAATTTTTGGAGAAACTAATTCTTCAACCACAGACATTCAAAAATACATTGGCCACAGATGGCCCGTTTCCACTGAGTGGTACCGTACAGTTTGGTACGCTTTTTGGCCGTTTCCACTGTCAAAAGATACTAAAAATCAAACCATACCAGTTTTTGGGTACCCTTTCGAAAAAGTTTACAGAGAAATGTTACTAGTCCGGACACAAGCTAGAAGAATGAAAACAAAGGAAGCGCTATTTTTAAATACACTGCTGAGACATTACACCGCAATAATATATACATATAAAAACAAGGCATAGTTCACCCAAGCTTAAAGGGCCATGAAACCCCCTCGTTTCAGCAGGGTGTTTTCACACCTCTACTTTGAAAAAAGTCAGAAAAGTGGGCGTGTCCAGCTCTGTTTAGGGGGAGTGTCGGAGGAAGAAAAGAGGCTTGGTGTGGGAGTGTCTATTTGGGCGCGCTGAATATCAGAGTCAAAACACACAACCACTGACAATGTGACTGTGTTTACATGGACATCTGTAGTCAAATTATTTGCCAAATTATTAAATGGTGGACTTTAACTGCAGTTTGGCTCTTTCATTCAGGGAATTCATTCATGTCCCTCCCGACAAACGTGATATTTGATTCGAGGAACTATTCTAAGCGTGTATTTTTCATGCAATGTTTGATACCGCACGGCGAATGAGAGAAAAAAAAACTCAGCATTTCCCGGAAACTTAGATGCACACGGCAGGTAGTGTCAGAAAGCCGCGTTTGTTATTCCGGTCACAAAATCCAACACAAGGTTATAGTTTGGTTGTAACTGTTAGTGCTAACTTGTTTACACTCGGTGCAATAGTTTGTTTGATACGAATAAAATACAACTGAATAAACAAAGAGCACTGGTCGCTCACTTACCAAATCTGTAGAGACAGGACAATCCACAGCAACTAGAGCCGCGTCTTTATTTAGAGGAGACTACAAGCGAATCCGGATCTCAGCTTTTGCAGATGAGAACAGCTCTCAGGTAAACAATGTGCCTCCTTAGACACGCAAGTTATTGTTGTCGAGCGTCGAGTACACTGTTAATCCACACGTGACGCCAGCTGAGCTCTCACAGAGAGAAAATGAAAACAAAACTTAACGGCAGCAAACTATAAAAGCAACACTTCACGCTTGTTTTGCCAACACAACGTGGCGTCTCTGCCGTCTACACTCTGACAGTAATGAATATTAATGAAGTTGCACAATAGAGCGCGCTGATTGGTTTGAACCAAGCCTTACTCATGCATTAATGCAACACACTGTAAGACGTAATAAGACACACTCTGGGACAGACGCCCAGTCTGCACGCTGGAATACACGCTATTATGTCATGACCGTGACGCAGCTTCAAAAATTCGTTTCAAACCGGAAGTACGAATTTGCTTGAAATAACGCAAAAACAACCAATTAACACTTTTTAGTGAAATATAGGTGTCCTAATAGTGTTTTTAGCAGTGTGGGACACATATACGACTGTAAACAGCTCAAAAAATGTGTTTTGGTGTTTCGTGACCCTTTAAACAAACAACGTTGTTGTCTTGATGAACAGCCACAAAGCCAAGAAAAGCAGAATCTACACTTTGCCCTGTTGTTGTTTACAAAGCCATCTAAAGCGCGAGCAGTTTCACTTCGCATCCAAATCTATATTAGCAATAATGAACTTCTTTAGCTGACGATTATAATGCGCGCGTAATTATTGAAGTACTTCTGACATCTGATCATTAGAAAAGGACAGACGTGAAAGTGAAGCATGAAAAAACAAACAAAGGAGGAGCCAGAAAAAAAGGAGCAAATTATTCTTTTAGCAACCTAAAACATGGAAAAACTGCCACGTTTAATTTTTATCGTCGCCTTTTGGACTATTATGAACTCTGAAATATGGAAATACTTTCTAACAAGAGGTTACAAGAGAGAGAGAGTTTTAATTTTATTGCCATTTCAGCTTCTATGGCTATGTCATGGCAAAAAGAAAATAGATCAAGTTTATCACATTTTATAAATACCAATTTTCTATAATTATAAAATATTCTAACAATTAAAAGTCATCAACAGCAATAAATAATGTCCAGGGTAAAATACATAAATAGCAATAATGCTAATATATGAGATAAAAATCTAAAACAGTTTTTTAAGGTTTCCTTTTGATAAAAATTGTACAATTTTAGATGGATTAAGAGGTTACAAGTGCTGGCGAAGATTAAAGATACAGATGAGAGGTTTGCACTGATTGTAGGCTATATGTTGTGTTGTTTTTGACACCAAATAAGGACTAAAAGTATGCTGTGTGTAGTTTTTCTGTATTTGGTAACATATCAGAGACTGCAAGGGACTTTGTGTGTTCATATATGTTGCATTTATTTATTTGATATCATAGCAGACATTACAGTAGGCTGTTTTGCATTGATCTGCATTTTGCATTGATCTGTAGTTATTAAATCTTGTACTTAGAAAGTACAGCTTTACCTTGACATTTACTCGGGCGAGAATGACATCTGTAGTACTTTCTGTCGTACACCACGCCCACCAAAAGGATACCATCATGGAAACGAAAGCGTGATAAAGGTGACCTGTACCATACCACTCAGTGGAAACAAACCAAGAGTGATGAAACTGAAAGTGATAAAAAAAAATAATAATAATGATACTAAATATATTGAATTATTTTTTTTTTTCCCCAAATAAAAGGTCATCTAGAGCATTCTAATGGAATCATTTGTGAGTTACATCTACGTCAAGCAATTCAAATCAGTCAATTGAGTGACTCAATGACAGTTAAAAGGCGGCTGCTCACAAAGAGATTACACAGAAAGGCAGCTCGCCAGGTTTTAGGTCTTTTAGATTAACCTGGAATGTCTGCATAATTCTGCTTGTAATGAAAAAAAAAGATATCCCTAGCGATTAGCACAGGTGCCTGTACCAAACTTGCATCACTCACTTATGTAACTGCGCTTAGTATTGTCTTTTCACAAAAGGGCTGCTTCCTCTTTTTCTGCCAGTCTAACAGAAGGGAGAAGGAGAAGTCTCATGGAAAGAATTTACATTCCATTATTGACTGCTTCCTGTATACATGAAGAAAGCGGCTATGTAAATTCTTTTGAGGTCAGAAATCTTGAGGCCCTTAAAAGGACGCAGAGTAAGACACAATTAAGATTTAAAACAATCTGCTCTTTCGAAGAAAACAAAATCACAGCCGTTTCTTTGGTGCGAGAAAAACCGGCAGACTGCAAACGCACAAAAACACAGTGAACAGAACTGACACGCCTTTGGAGAGCTTCGGTGCATTACATAACACTGCAGACATAATAACCTTCTAACACTGCTTCTCCTTTCTCTGAGCTTCACATCTGCCTGTGTTAAGCGTTGCCTCTAGCTGGAACTGGGGTGGGCAGTACATGATTTAAAAGCTTTAAACAAACACAAAGTGTAAGTATATAATCGCCTTTTAAAACTCAAATCACAATATCGCATTTGTAAGGTTTGGGCAAGTATTTTCCAAGAAATAAAGCTAATGCTGACTTAATCTAATCACATTGATCTAGAAAGCAAATATATAGCAGCTCCCACAGCACCATTTGTAAGTGCTGCACTAACAATTAGAGGTGGAATAAACAGGAAATGTGCTAAAATGGATCTAATTGTCAATACTTAAGCATATTTTGTGAAATATCAACATTTATGCTAAATGCTTTGTTACTCTCATGTCATGTTTTATCCAATACAAGCTCCAAAAAACATTCCAATCTTTGATTTGTTTACAATCATTAGGATCTGGTTTAAGTAACACAAACCAGCATTAATGAATAATTCACAAGAGTAATGTTACCCGAGGATTAACTTGCATGAACACGGCTCTTGTAAGTATTTTTAGATTTGCAGCTGTAAAGGTGTTCGTTTTTTCGTTTTTATCAGTTTGACATTAGAGCCAAATTCATGTAATTACACTTTCTACCAATCACACCAATTGCATACACTCATTTTTTTTTATTAACAGGCTGTAAAATTTTATATAATATTTAATTCTAGGGGTAAATTTTATTTGTAGAGCGCTAGGAAAAATAATTATTCAATATCAGGGCATATTTAAGTGTGATCCTCACAGTGATTTACAATATCATCCATTATCTGTGGCTGACTGAATGGTGCATGTCTCATTAAATTTTGAATGAATGGCATCAGATTTCCACAGTATCCTATGTGAACAAAGTTAAACAGCACTATTAAGTGCATACTAATAGAGGGCTGAAAGTTCACCTGGTCATTAATGGAGCTGTAGTCATTGGTGTTAGAGATGTCTTCGTCCTCCGATTCAAAGAACTCCTCCTGGTTCTCCAGCAGTTCTGCCAGAATCCGACTGACTGACTCCTGCTCTTTCAGATCCTCCACATCGGTGTCTAAACTTCAGAACAGAAAACAAAGGAAATGATAAAAAAAAAAAAAAAAAAATTTAGTTTAACTTAATTTTCAATGTTTATTAGTGTTAGCTTAATGTGTCTGTAGACTGATCACCTCAATGGTGATCGATTAAAATTGTGCTAATTTGTTTGATCATTTAAATAACCTGACTCTAAAACATTAATTCAAAGGGACAGTTCATTAAAAACTGAAAAATCAGTCATTATTTACTTCACACCTTCCAAACCTGTTTGGCTTTCTTTCTTTTGTTAAATGCAAAGAAGATATTTTAAAGAAAATTGACTTTTACAGTATTTGTTTTGCCTACTATGGTATCTTCTTTTGTGTTGAACAGAATAAAGAAACAAAACTGTGAGTAAAGTTTAATTTTAGGGGAACCATCTACTATTATTGTTAATTTAGGGCAAGACTTTTTGACAGATCATTGGCCAAGTGTTCAACGTTTTAGTTTTAAAGTTAGGCCTTCAGTCTACACTACCCTGAAGTTTAAGCCCAGAAAATGGAGTTTTTTTAAAAAATGCTGAAGAGGTCGTTTTTTTTTTTTTTTTTTTTTTTTTTTCAAATGCTGCTGTGTCAGTGTGAATGAGGGAAAATAGAGACATCTGAAAACAGAGAAAATCAAATTGGCGCTTTCCCTCAATATTAAGTCCACAAATTTTAGTCTTGTACCCTTTTCCTTTTAAGTCCAGACTTTGCAAGTTTGATATGGAAAACAAACTCCCGAGGACACGTCAGGTAAATCTTTAAAGGGAACAGTGTACAATAACGTCATTCACATGATATTATCAATAAAATCAAAACATGACATAAGGATATGCCACTTTTCATTTTGATATTAACAACTTAACAGACACTAAAAATGTTAAGGAATCTTGTAGGTTCATATTTATGTGACCGTCATCGTCACTGTATACATATTTATAAAAAAAAAATAAATAAAAAAAAGAGCCTATAACATTACTGCCTTCTTTCATTTTCATTGAAAAATATGAAACAAACCCTGTCTCTTTTGCTGAATATCAGTTTTAATAATCAATAATGGTCTTTATAAAAGTATAACCTACAAAAAGTTTATACAATATAGGAAATAAAGGCAAGTAATCAGTTAATATGCAGAATCAGTGTACGTGGTTGCATAAATAATTATAATAACTTATCTTTGCGCTCAGCCAAAATGTGCTACCTGAAAGCAACTAATAGATTCAAAAGACCATAAGATAGAGATGAATAAAATATTAGATTTAACAACTATAGTGAGATGGTGGTGGTGTACGCTGCTCTCATCTGGGGAGGTGTGCTCAAAGCACCCACTGACTGCCTGGAGCTCAGACGTGCGCATACGCTGCAACGCATGTTAGAGTGTGTGTGGTCACGTGATGTGCACTTTCAGTGGTGTCGTGTGGACGGAGATCTTTTCAGAAATGCTAGATGAAACACCAGTGTGGACGGGGTTTTAAAACATTTTAAAACTAAAACATATTAGTGTAAACAGGGCCTCAGTTTAAAAAAAATTAACATATTTATTGTTATTCAGTTTGGTGAGACTAATGCTGCAGATATGACACATTTCAGCTTATATTTATTTATAGATTTATCTTTGAAGTCAGCTTTTATAGATCTTCTACCCTGCCCTTTAGATTTGTCTTTGCTTTATTTATCATTTCACCATATTTAAGATTTGCCCACACAACCAAAACTGTGAAAAAGATTGTGCATGGGCCTGCTAATGACAGGATGTGTTGTATTGGAAAAGAAAAAAACCCTGTTTGTGGCTCTTATGAGGTATCTTTAAAAACTGACAAAAATGGACAGAAATGGCAAAAGCATCTTACTGGAAAATGTCAGGCCCAAAGACGGCAGCAAGAGCTCCTAAGCTCCAGCTCTCCTCCTGTAGAGACGCCACACCGGACAGGAAGCGGCACAAGAAGCGGAGCAAACTGTAATTGACCTGCGGCAGCTGCTGAAGGAAGTACTTCATGTTTCTGCCCAGCTCTTCTTCAATGCTGTAATCTAAAAGTCAGAATGAGAAGGTGGTTCAGTAGGACGTGCGGTTATTAATGTTAATGATGTGAAAGTCAGAGGCGAGCAGAGTGATGTAAAGGTGTGCAAGAACACCGGTGCTTTGATGATGCAATTATAACTCAATTATAACTCCAGATAGAAAAAAAAAACAGGCATTTTAATTCATAGAGATTCATCTTAAGCCAATGTGGACAGCTGGCTTCAGAAAAGGACATGTTGGAAGCTTGACCTACCCTGGTAGAGCTGCATTATTTGTGCCTGTAAGCCTGCAGGGATGATGGGCTCTGGGAGCTCCTGCAGGAAGAGGCGTAGCAGGCTAACGGCAGACGCCAGGTCGGCCTCCTTCTCTAGATTGACTTCAACTCCACTGTCGTAGCGCTGCCTGAGCCATTCCACGCGTTCTGCGTTCCCGTTCACTAGAAACAGGCTCAGATGCAGCCCCCCTATAAAACGCAAATGCTCAAGTCACATAGAGAAACATGCCAGCAGAGTAAGGTATAAACATCTGACAGAAGAGAGCATGCTGATAATTTGCTTGTTAAACTTGTAATCTCTTTAGTCAGTTGTGTAAGCGTGATAACATCGGCCATGTTCAAAAACCAATAATAATAAAATGAGAAAAAATATATATATATTCATATATATATACTTTTTCATACTTTTTTGGCCTTGTGCATCTATAAAGGATTTTTGTCTATAATTGTAGCTTTGTTCAAACAGAATTCACTGTGATATATATATATATATATATATATATATATATATATATATATATATATATATATATATATATATATATATATATGTGTGTGTGTGTAATAAACATTACATAGTTTTAATCATGTGTTTTTTACATTTGTGCCCTTTATTTAAACTGACACACATGGGTTAAATTCACAAATGAGCAAGTTTACATACCTTAACCCAAAAGTTTTGAATAAAAGCAATAATGCATATTTTTATGGCTGACTGAAGCACTTTCAAACACACTGCTGATTTTCACCAGATCAGAAGCTTTCTAAAAGCTCGATTGGCAAATCTACATTAGCTGGTCTGTCTCGGTTCCCACCCCTGGTGTGCTGTGTGTGTACACAAGTCTCTTCGCTGCATGAGAGGAAGCCACAGCGTCGCTATGTATTATGTCTAAATTAGCCTCAGTACAAAAACATCCTTCCATATGAAATGGTAGAGGACAAACGCCAGTGCACTGAACTCAGAGGCAGAGCTGATGTTTGGACACAACAGTGGCGGTTAAAGCTCTTTCCAGGAATTTAAAGCCCAGAAAATTTTCAAAATTCAAACTGTGCTACAGTTTAATCCTCAGAGTATCGCCTTCACATCTCTTTAAAGGCCAAAAAGAGAATTTATAATATGTCTGAAGTGCAAGTAAGAAGTTCAGCAATTTGCAAATACCAGTTATAGAGAAAAGACTTGGCATTTACGTATCTACACTCAACAGTTAATTAGAAGGTGAGAGACTCTTTATTATGATGTGGTGTCATTATAAAAGCCTCAGGCAGAATAATGTTCCTCTTTCACTTTTAACTCTGTAATGTTGCGAAAGAAAGGAAGTACACGTTTGATCGAGGAGAACAGGGAGGCTACTCATATCGTACAATCAGGCCAAGCTACATTTTTGGCCTTATCAGATGTAAATGCCATGAACCATTTGATATTTCTTGCAGAAAACAGAGGAGCTCACAGAGTCGTTTCATCATTTATGCTGTAGCTTCACACACATATTTCTGATCCAAAATACTCATTTGTTGCACAACCTTGCGGAAAGTTTAAAAATGCTTTACAGAAAATTGCGGGCTTTGTAGATAGTATTACACAAATATGTCATTTATTACACTAGCATGCTCAAATGTCGAAAACTTTAAGTTTTCTCCTAACAGGATAAGTATTTTTTTTTAAGTAAAAATGTAATAAAAATACAGAAAAACAAATATTATATACTACTGATAATACTATTATTCATTTAGTTTTTGGCTTTGTCCCCTTATTAATTTGGGGTTGCCAAAGCAGAATGAACCACCAACTTCCAGCATATGTTTTACGAAGCGGATGCCCTTCCAGCTGCAACCCATAATTGGGAAATGATAATATTATTAGTTAAATAATATTAAAATAATATTACAATCTTAACCCCTGTGTACTGTTCAAATCGACTACCTTTCCTTTATGTTCGTGGCTGTTTTTGACCCATTCAATTATAACAACACTTTTTGATTGCCAAGCCTTGACACCCAATAATCATGCATTCCTGATTGTTGGTGTTTTTCCCAGTTGTGAAGAGGTAAAACTTTACATTTTTAGTGTTGATCATCAGTTGGCACTATTAACAGTTTAGGTAGGTCTGTGCAACAAAGTTGTATGACTTTTATATGGAGTTCTTTGGGGTAAAATAGCTAATAATAGTGTGCATGCATAAATACACTTACTATGTTTAATATGTTCTGAGAGCTGAGCTGCTTATTTTTTAAAACATATAAATGTGCAAAGGTCTCTTTCAAACTCTGACTCACACATAAGCACACTAAACTTCATATAAGCATATAATATTTATCCAAAAACTAAACTTTTTTTGCACTGAAACTAATGGTCAACAGTAAAAATTTACATCTTCCCAAAAGGGAAAACCAGCAACAATGAAGAATGCATGATTATACGTCATGAGTTTACAATCAAAAAATGCCATTATGATGGAAGTCAATGGGGCAAAAACAGCCATGAACATAACGAAATAATAGTAAATTAGCACAGAATTTGAATTTTTGAACATTTTCAAAGCATTTCTTCTAAATAAGTGTCAAAATAAGTTTGTCACCAAAAATCATTCCATTTGCTGAAACACAGCGAACATTGAGGCCAAATTAACACTGACAATAACCTGAGATTGATCCCGAACAGCACATAAGGGTTAAAAGAAAGTATAACATATTTTACAGCTTGCCAAAGCTGGATGTTTTTACAACATGGCAAAGCAGCTGTTACTCCATGCTTCAATGTTACATGTTCCTTCTAAAATGGCAAGTTTTGTTGATCAAGAAACATTTCATATTATTAATATCAACACAGTTATGCTGCTTAATATTTTTAAACAAACCTTGAAACGTTTTCTCAAAATTCTTTGAAGTATTAAACAACATATATTTGACTTTTTTGTACAATTACAAATACCGTTATGGTCAATTTAGATTAACTGCATATTTATATTTTAATTTTCTTCGTGAAAAAAATAAATAAATAAACAAGTATTTCTTTTTAAACAAACTACCAACCCCAAGCATTAGACTTTTGGTATATTTTTATACATATTATATATATATTATTTATACAACTTACACAAATATAAAATACTTATGAAGCTAGAAAGGTTAACTAACAAACTAAGTAAATTATCTACAATATAAAGTTTTACTGACTGTTTATAATTGAAAACAAATTTGACTTTTGAACATCCCATTGCTCAATAAAACCACATAAGCAAAGAAAAAAAAAAAAGTTTTTACTACTGCTTGTACAACTGATATCTTCCTTGAATGAAGAAAAAATGTCTTAAAAAAGTATATTCACTGCCAAACATGTACATTATTCTATACCTGGGCTGTCTTCATTTCTATTCCCGAAGCTGTTTCAACAGCTGTATATGCTACTATCTTTGACAAATAATAAAGCTTAGCATGAAAGTAAATCATTAGGAGGGTCCCAAGTCACCCACCGTGCTCTTCAATGTACTCCACAATGCTCCTGACCAGCAGGGGGACCTCATGTCCTGGCTGTCCGCTGTGCTGCACCTCCTCCAAGGGGATCCCGAACACTCTGGTCGTGCTAAGGGAGTCGCTGAGGGAAGTAGAGAGGCTCTTCCTCATCGCCTCCACAGCCGAGCTGCTTCAGTCCGTCTGCACATAGATACGCAAAGAATAAGGTCACATCGGCTGGCCGAACTGTCACCTCCCTGTACAAACACGCTATCATGGGCGCGGCACGGGTTCAAACGAGAAACAAAACAAAATTGGAGCGGGGCCTCTCCCGTCTAGGGTAGTGTGGGTTCTTATCATCATGTGTTAGATGAGGAGAGCTTATGTAAGTGACTGTCGTGTGCAAAGTTCATACAGCCGTCAGATGCGGTAGGCTGATTCTGATGATAGTAGCAGGTGGCTGTCATCTCTTTCAGCATGCAAATACCATCACAAACATAACAAATCATTATTCCAGTGCTGTTAATGCTGGAGTAAATACAACTCTGCACCTGCATGCGATTAAGAAGGAACACAATCTGGACTTGATCTGACCACATGTCTTTCGTGAGAACAGCAGATGTTCTTGTCTTATCTTATTCTTTTTTTTTTAGATTGGTGATATGAGGTGATTTTCTGTCTAGGCAGCGCTTACCTTGTTGTATTAGCAAGCACCAAGAAGTTAACTTTATCTCCTGCTCCACTCACTAGTAGTAAACCAAATTCATCTATGGTTGCTTCAGGTTGTGGCAGAAGATGAGCCTGTAGTTCCTCATTGACAGACCGCAAATCCTGTTCAGGACGTTAGTGGTTAAGCTGGAGAAAAGAAAACACAAAAGAGCAGCGTCAGCAAATGCATTCAAACGCATGATAGTCCTTCTGATTAATATTAGCTGGGGAAATTCACAAAACACTTATCCAGTTACTGGACATCTGCAAAAACCCGAAAAACATATCTGCTGAAAAAAAAAAAAAAAAGAAGCACAGCAATCTGCTCACCCTTCTGCATCTGGCATCACACGAACACAATTTAATACTAAGTGGAATTTTAATCCAAAACAAGTTTTCCAATCACGCCACTGAAAGCTTTGACATATCTCTTTCATGTTTTTTTTTTTTTTTTGGTTAAAGGAATGTTAATAAGTATTCCAAGGGTCTAAACAGGGAAATAAGTATTTCAGTAATATTACTAACTCAAGCAATAAACCAAAATGCAAACTGTTTGTTAAAACGGCATCTCTAATGTTCATAAAGGCTGCATTTATTAAAAAAAAATATAGCAAGACTGAATTATTAACAATTTCAGGTACGCACTTTCTGTTTGAATTTGGAGTTCAATGGATCACAGTTGAATCGATCACACTAAACACAGTTCAGGGCACATATCCACAGATTAACTGTTTTTATACTGTCAGAATCTTATAACGGCCCATGCCTATTTTCAAGTACAGTTATAGTTATGTCAAGCAAACTTACAAATTTAAGAAAGATGATGTGAAAAGAAGGTATATAATCCATAAATTACTAATTTATGATATAAAAAAAATTGCCTTCACGTTGTGATTGTAAAGTAAAAAAATTTCTGCACATGATTCTTTAGAAGTTATGCCAAAAATATGACACTGCATAATAGTTTACATCATAATAGTAAGAAACGATTAATTGTTATTATGTAAACCATTATGTGGTTTAATATTTCTGAGAAGATTATTTTTCCTTCAGGGAATCATTGATTAAGAAAAGTGTATTTAATGTGTAATGTATTTGAAAACTTCAGTAACATTAACTGTTTTTTTATCAATGTACTGCAGGGGTGCCCAAACTTTTTCCAAAAGGGCCAAAAAACAAATTTTAATGACAGTTGTGGGCCGAAGAAAAATATAGCAAGCTATTTTATGTTGCCATAAGTAATTTTTTTAATTTATTTTATAAAATTAAAAAATAAACAGAAAACATTACTTTATATCCGATTAACTAATGCAGCATACGTTTTTAAATGATAACTAACTGCAATAAAAACAGAAACAATCTCATTTATAACACAGTGAAATTCAATGCTGAATATACAGTAAGGCAGAATCTGCCTTTGCCTTGATTTGCTCCCCAAATTAATCTATCTGTCGGGTGACAGTATGTACATTTTGTACAACTAAATCTGATTAAATGACACCATTTGAATTTAAATATTTCATTTCAATTAGCTTTTTGTAGCTTAACAATAAAACAAACAAATAAAAGGTTACATTAAATTTCTCTAAACCATCCCCATCATCTTTAAAGATGGGATGGTGGGCCAAATCAAAGGTTACCATGGGCCAACTTAGTTTGGGCTAGGGTTGTAGCGGTATGAATTTTTCACGGTATGATAATCGTCTAAAACAATACCACGGTTTGACGGTTTCGCGGTATACGGTATGTTACAAATGTTACAAAATAATAGAACAGTGAAGCAAATTTGACTTTTTCCATATAATATATTTTTAGTTACTATAAACAACACCACTTACAATGAACAAATAAAAATAAGAAAATAATAAATAATGTGTCAAAGTCCAAATAAAGTCCAAATAAACATGGTGCAAATCCTCAGTAAAAAAATAGATATAAATATTTACTATACTATAAATAGTTACATAACGAAACTAGATTCAATATGGAACATCCTTAGGTTTTATGTGCCAGCATGGATTTGGATGTGGTTGTATGCAATGCAGACAAACAGCTGCATCTTCATTTGTGTCTTTTGAAAACAGCAAGAGCAGCAGTTCGTCTTTGCTGTGTCACTGTTTTGTCATGTTTCTGTGCTGCTGTGCATGCAAAAGTACTTAGTATGAGAATTATTTCATGCAAAACTTTTTTTTTTGCGTTTTATTTAGCCGCGCATAAATGTATGCCTATCTCTCATTCCGTGTTGTTCAAAAAGCTTGGTACACAAACAAAAGCGAAACCTATGCTTATTGGTTGTGATATAGCGAGTTTGAACCAATCTGGGCATGGAGGAGGGACAATGCATCAATGTATCATGTCTGATTTGTCCGGAGACACAGTGACGAGCGTTTCTTTGTCAAATCAGCGTTGTCAAATGTTGATGACGTAACCGCACTGATTTCGGAGCCTCTGAAAGTCCGCAAATGTTATGTGATACAGCACTGGAAAGCTGAGATTCTCTTCTTTATGCCAATCTTTGAATTGTATGAATCGGATCAGCGGATCAAAAGTTATTAAACATTTAAGAGCAATACTTATTTTTAGCCGCGGGCGGCTGTCTCGGTCTTTAAGGGTTAAAACCGTTGATATGCAATTGTTCATGGTATGATAATCGTGCACGTTCAAATCGTGGTAAACCGTCATACCGGTATATTGTTACAACCCTAGTTTGGGCATCTCTGATTTACAGCATCTGTGCTTAATAAAAGTATTATTAAATAAATAAACAGAAACCATGCTTTTGAGCAGTAGCATATCTCAGTCGCCTCTATTTTAAGCAAAAATGGTCCAATTATGGTCCAATTTATGCTTTTTACACAGGTTTTTACAGTTCATTAGATCCACTCTATTACAAGTACTTTCATTCACAAAAATGACATTGAGCATTCTGTCCTTGCCAAATTGCAGACTTCTTAGGCACGATTTGCTACCAGACACCAGGCATGTGGAACAAGAACAAAATGTCCCAAAAACGAATTGGAATGATGTGCGAAATGAGCCCTAACAGCAGATGTCTTAGTTTACTGACAACTGAAAGTAGATGTACTTCTAATCCCACATATCATGCGTGATGACCTTTCACTCACAATGTTCACCATTGTTGTAGCAGCTAAACGCAGCCCAGCGCTGAGGCTGTTAGCAGAGCGCACAGTATGACCTTGGCTCATTTCTCCGAGCTCTGGAGAACACATAAAGGGACGATGCTGGAATTTTCTGCAGGCAAACATCTCCACATCTCCTTGGTGACATGATGTTTGCAAAACTTAGTCATCTCGCTATGGTTACTTGTTGTCACAGGGACAGTTTGTAGATGCAGTCTCAGAAAAGCATGCTGTAGATACACAAAGAGCGGCTTTAAACATTCCGGAACAATCCCTTGAACAACAGCGTCCCGAAGATGACCCAACAAGGAGATTATATGAGCCCACTTACAGAACACAGGCCAAATCTCAAAAGTCAGTGATTAATTAATAACTCTCTGGATATCTTTAGGGACGTCTTTAAAAAGATATGCAATTATAAGGCGGCTCAAGGTTAAAGCTAGATCCAAGAGCTCACCCTGTAATTTAGGAAGAGCACTTTATTGTAGCAATCTTGTAGTAACACACACTCAGGGCTTCTGGAGTGAAGAAAATAATTCAAATCTTGATAATAGTTCATGGCACTAGAAGTGAAAAAGCCCTTGACACTAATTTTCAGTGTCTTGCAAGGCAGTGCAGAAGTTCTTTTTCTTTCTTGATTCCGCTTCTCCATAATTGCATGCAATTCATTCGCTTCAAACCAGATTGAACTAGATCAGTGTTAAATATCTGCATACTGTACGCTGGATTGGAACTTCCTTTGCATTTATTTAAATGCTAAATCAATTCATCTATGTATAGACCCATTAAAATAGCAAAGATGGTGTTGTATTATGTAGTGACTCTAGGCAGAAAACAACTTGCATGCTGGGTGTCATGACAACAGAGGAGTGTCTCTAATGCAGCATTTATCTAATGCAAAACACAGCGTAAGATAACATTGGCAAAAGAAAATGTGTTGCTTTTAATTAGAATTTCACATTGTGGAATGATTAATGTAATACTAAAAGGTATTTCAAGAGATATTATGTTTGGAAAAAAATATTTAAAAGTTGAAGTGATTTAGGTCCCATTTACACTGCCAGTTAAATGTGACCCAATTCCAAATTTCTCACATGTGACTAGACATGGGACGATTTCAAGGTATACTGCGATTTGGAAAAGTCAAGGTTTTAAAACAAAAATGTTCTGCTATACCGTTCCTAAAGTATGTGTAAGGTTTATTTATGTTTTTTTTTTAGGACAACAGTACCACCAGCAGAAAAGGTCTTTGAAGATCCCATATTTGTACAGAAATCGGTGTTTTTTAAACGAATAAAGGCAGCAGAATGATTGATTCAATGATTTTTAAAAATTATTTAGCCTGACATCCCAGCAGACACACATCATCATAAGTAAGGCTGCACGATTTTGCAAAAAAAAGTAATAATCAGGAATTCATGATTTCATGTTTCATATCATTCGATATCCATAATTATTTAATATTTTTAACGATACATTTAGGAATATTAGTATTATGTATATTTGACGTCCAATAACAACATTGATATTTGGTTGATTTTAGGTTGTGTTAGAAAGTACTGACATTTATTCGTCATGTATGGCAACCAAATCCAATCATAGTGATAACGTCCAAGCTGTAACATCATTAGACGTTGATATTTGGTTGATTTTAGGTTGGACGTTGGGTTCTGACATTAACTCGATTTTCAATTCCAAAACAAAATGTCCTAATGATGTTGGGGTACAACATCAATCTGACATCATTTTGACATCCTGTGCCTGCTGCCAAAATATTTTAAATGGTTCTCAAAAAATTCATTTGTTCATTAATCATTTTCCTTTAGCTTAGTCTCCATTTAAGAGGTCACCACAGTGGAATGAACCACTGACTATTCCAGCTTATGTTTTACACAGCGGATGCTCTTCCAGCCCCAACCCAGTACTGGGAAACACCCATACACTCATTCACACCCACACTCATACACTATAGACCATTTAGTTTAATCAATTCACCTATAGCGCTGC